GGGGAAACTCCATGTTAAATATATCTATCATATAGTTGTGGGCCATGTAAGTGATATTTTCTTTTATGAGTCTAAAATTACAATAATTACATTTATATTATAATAATTAATTGTGTTAGGTTCATGGACAAATTGAGTGTGGAGCAAGCACAAGCACAAGTATATGGATTTATTGAGCCTCAATCCATCCAAAAATCAGGAAACACTCAGGTCCAGATCCAGCAATATATGCAAACATGGATGAGTGAATCAGGAAGAGATATATACATGGCTCCATACATTGACGGGTTAATTTTTTAATTAGTTTTTTAATCATGGTAATTTTATAACTAATTTGTTTGTCATACAATGTAGGTCCTATTGATAGTTAATGGTAATCATTCCTAAGGAATACACCGTGGTGTGGTTTTGTTCACTACATCAAAAATCAAGCCATGAAATTAAATGCCAATTACAAGGGTAACTAAAATTTTTCATTATGTTTTAAAACTGTAACTATATAGATTGACTAACATTTGTTTTTATTTCAATTAATTAGAATCGTATCTGGAGCTAATATTTTAAGTGGAAGAGCCAGATCAAAGACATTGTCATTCATATACCCTAAGGTTAGCAAATTAATTAATAGAGACAATAATATTTGAATTTATCGACTTTGGAAATAATAGTTATTTGTTTCTCATTTTAGTGTAATAAGCAACAAGACTCGTTTGAATGTGGCTATTACATCATGTATTGGATGAGAGCCATAGTTTCTGCGAGTATTACTGATTCTTGGGGCAGGAATTCATATCAAAATTTATTTAAGTATATTTACCTTTATGATAATTAACATTGCATATTAATGACACTTAAATTAATATTTCAAGTTTTTCAAGATCCATCTCCATTGCCCGAAGATGAAATCATCAAGATAAGAGAACAATGGACAACTTTTTTTCTTCAAAGTATATAATAGTTAGATTTCTAAGTTTAGTTAGTTGGATATTATGTTTTTAGTTTGATAGCATTGACAAACATATGTTTTATAGTTTTTTTAGGATAATAGGATTTACATTGTCTTAATTTATGCTTTTTTAAGATTTATATATTATTTTCTTTTTGTCATTCAATTTTGAAATACAAATTATATTTGAATTTGTATTCTAGACTGCCTGGGTTAGGTTTTGTATTTTGAACTGTATGCAGGTTTTGGGTGTATCAAAAAATAATAAAAATAAAAAAAAAATGCAAGAATTTACGTCGGACAACATCATGTCCGACGTAAATTTACGTCGGATCTAGCACTAGCTGACATAAATTTACGTCAGACATGGTGTGTCCGATGTAAATTCTTGCGTGTATTTTTTTAAAATTTAAATCCAATTTTACGTCGGTCCTAGGGAATGTCCGACGTAAATTTACGTCGGCTGTGATAACCGACGTAAATTTACGTCTTCCACATTAACGTCGGACCCGTTTCTGACGTAAAATGCTTAAAATATCCGACGTAAATGATCCCTTTTGTACTAGTGTGTAGACACTTTTGGAATTAATGAACAAAATATTTCTCTCAAAATTCTCTCTTCCAAGAGCCTAGAACCGTGGAAAAACTCTCTCCCTTAGGAACCTTCACAAAGGACTTTCTCCTTTGTGCCTTGGTTTCTCACTTCTTCTTCTCCTTTGAGAAGAACCGAACCACAAGAATGGCTTCTACAAGCTTTGGAGCTTGTTTTGCTTCCGTCATTTTCAACCATTGATGAACTTCTAAGAACTAGATTGGACGTTGGATGTAGCTTGAGGAAGAACAACAATCACTTCACCAAGTCTTTTCCATCAGCTAACATAGGTATTTACTCATTAAGCCTATATCAATTTGGTAGTCTTTCAACACACTAAAATTAAATCAAATAAAGTTAAGGCCATTGAAGCAAATTGCTAGTATAATTGAAAATTAAATATGGTGTCTAACATTCAATAGAAAATTTAAATTTGTTGGAACATTTTGCAAACTTGGTGCTAGAAATTTAAGATTCTCATTTGATTGGGTAAAAATTGATTGCGTAGGAATGATTCAAATTGAAATATGTAACACTTTGGTTTTCATAAATAAAATAAAAAAAGGGTTTTAAAATAAACAAAAATTAAACATAAAGCTTGGGAAATTAATGGGCTGAAATTGGGTTTTTATAATTAAGACATTTTAGAAAAATATGGGTTATAAAGTAAAATTTGTTTTCTAGGTATTGATGTTTTTTTATCCTTGTAAGCCCAATATAGTCCAAGTTTTTTTTCCCGGTTGTGTTGCCTTAGAACATTGTGAACCTGAAAAGGGATCTTGATGAAATTTTGTTTTTGTCGTCTTATCTTATATTTTTGCTTAAAATTTGATTAATTATGTAAGGGAGAGTGAGTTATCTCACGTGTATATATAAGATAGATTATGCGTAGAGGAGTTGATGCTAGATCTTATAGGTTTTACTCGTTATGTCTTTAATTTAATGAGGTGTGAATACCCTGAAACTCTCAATTACCCTATTTTATTTTTAGCATTGTATATTTATTTATGATTCTAGTACACCTTAGGGAGTTCCAATGATTTTGTTGTTAAGCGTTGAGTGGGTGGTTCTAAGCAAGGGATCCACAAAGTGCAACTACAAGAGTGTGATGACACTAAGTGTTGGATTGTGTCATTGAGTAAAAAAACTATAAAGAGCAACCTTTGTTTCTTATCAAGGTTGGCTCAAAGGTGAGACTAACAAAGTCCTCACTTTAGGTTCCTTTAAAAAAAAATTATATTAATATTTACATATAATTTTTTAAGGTTCAATAATTTAAAGTAATTTTTTTCATTCTTAAAAATTCATTTCAAAAGGTCTATCTCTATAAGATATACAAATATAATAATTTTTTAAAAGACCCATTTCTCAAATATTTTTAATTTTTGTCAAAAGATATTATTATTAATTTTAAAAAGTCTCACTTTAAGATTTGCTTTAGACCTGATAATATATTGAATTGATCCTATTTCTTATAAGTTAGGTCATAAGTAAGGATAATATGATTAAACGAGAATCCCTTATTTTCATAATGTTGATGTTGTTCTATTTTGTATTAATTTCTTATATATGTTATTGATTGGTGGTGTAAGATCATATTATATAGATAATGCATGTGATATTAACTTGAATATTTGCATATTATGGAAATATGCTTTGAAAGAAAATGATAATCTAGCCTAGAGAGGCGAGTGACTCCTATGAGTTTTTGTGTCAACATTTTTCCTATAATACTTCTCAAATTTGATATTTCAAAGGTTGCATTCCACAATATTTTATATAGTGACACTTCATTCAATTCTTCGTTTTGGTTTCTAGTCGATCTAGCATTTGGTTCGTTATTTAAAATAATAACATTTCTAAGAATCATTATTTCTCCGGGACTAGTTTTTGTATAGGTTTTACACAAAATTATTCTCATAGGGAAGGTGGGAAGCTAATTTTTTCGTGGTAAAAACAATTTTAATGTAGTAAAAATATCATGTTACCTTTATTTGCTTATTTAATGCAATAAAAATTCATAAATATTTCCAAAAATATTATGATCAACCAAACAAATTTCATGATTCCTATGATTCATGATTTTCAAGTATGAAAAAAAATGTCATATATACCAAATGCCCTCTTAATGCCACTAAGTTGGTATGTAATTATAATGCCTTTGATCTCTCGGAATTCAATGGAGTAGAAATCTCTCTAAGGGTAACTCTTAAGATATGAGATTTGGACTTAACTTAATCATAAAATTGATTCAGTCGATGTGGGATGTCCACCACATCCTCTCACACTGAGAATTGGGCAAGATAGGACATTTGTGAGTGGTCCAATAGTGACTTGATAACATATAGTGCAATAAATTCAACAACAACGGCTAAGATAAACTTTGATGTCATTTTAAAGTGAATTTGAATCTAACTTAACCTTATATTACTGACTTTTAAAATAAGAATTGTTCCCATTTAAATATACTATTTAACCATGTTGATGCAAAATCTTCAACAATAATTTTTTCTACCATCTATATCTTAGTTATTTTTTTTATTAGTAACTTACACAAGCAAATTGTAGGTTAAATAAATCATCGAAGTCCCAAATTAAATGTTGCTACAGTAACCAAAAATCAAAACATTATCCTAGTTGTACATTAAAACTTAAACCGGAATTAATAACCAAAAGTTTGTTTCTGATTGGCCATGTTCTTTTCATAAAATTTATAGTTTGGATTTTTCTTTTTCTTTTTCTTTTTTTTCATTTTACAACCATCACTCATCATCTATAGCAGCCATGTCTTTATTGATAGTGTCACACTACAACGATATACATGCACATATTAATTGAGAAAAAGATCGAATTGACAGTTTTCAAGCTAACAAGTTTGCATTGCCCTTAAATGGTCATGTAATTTACAACAGATCTCAAACATCTATGTTAACCTCCTTAATTTGAAACATTACTAAAAAGATAGTGTTTTTTTTAACTTTAGTTGGCTACATAGTTTAGGCTTTAGTTGGATATATATATATATATATATATACAAAGTATTATATCGCTCAATAACTTTATATTAAATGTAAGTTTTATAAAT